TGTTCCACTGTCCATGTCTAAGGATATCTCGTCTAGTTCTTATTTTAAGTACTGCTAGACGAAATTGCCCTTGACATGGGCAATTTCGTCGAGTTCTTATTTTTAGCACTGCTCAGTTGGTGCTCGTTCTGTTTCTATTGAGTTCAAGTCCACACTACCCGATCCAGGGATTGAACTCACAAATAGTGTCAAAAATTAAAACATCAAGATATATAGAGTTTTAAACATCTTAAACTGTATCAGAATAGGTTTGGTTGGTTGATTTTCACAGCAATCTTTTTTGTTTTATTTATTCTGTTGTCAATAAGGCCCAAGAGCCACTCATGGTAGAAAATTATAGAATAAAGTTGTATGTAGATAACTGTTGACCCAATAGTTGAGAAGATTAAGATTGTCGCATCCGAGGAAGTATTCCACCGTCTTGTTTCATAAAAGTACAGTTCTTGAGAAGAAGTTGCTTGTTCGGAACTTCTTCGTTATAAATGGAATACGAAGTGAATGTTGATGAGTCAACCTTGCGTACGCAGACTGGCGAGTCCTTGCTGTGAATGTCTGAACTAGTGGAACTAAGGAATGTAGTCACTCAGAAGACTTTTCATGGAAATAGTGATAGAGTAGAGAGTACAAATTCTTGTGAATTAGTAGGTCTGATAAAATGAATCGTGATTACGATTCCAATCTAACAAATTATAATCATGGAATATTAGTGTTTGAGCTTTATACATACATACATACATATATATATATATATATATATATATATATATATATATATATGTGTGTGTGTGTGTGTGTGTGTGTGTGTGTGCAAATATATAGAAAAATAGGAAAAACGGTTAGGTTAATAATCCAAAGGTCTTTTAGTATTTTTTTTTTTATTTTTAAAAACAGTGCTCGATACATAATTAGAGCCTAATTCGGGGGGCAGGCGGTTTATATTTATATATACATACGTTCTATCTCTGATAATGGGGAATTTATACCATAATTATAGCACACCTTAAAACTATAATTCTTCATATATATATATATATATATATATATATATATATATATATATATATATATATTATTTGTGGAAAAGGTGATGAAGGGTGGAAGATTATTCATCATCCACAAGGCCGCGGCAAGACTGGGAAATGAGGATGTATGACTACCTATGTGTAAAGCGGACCTATGTCTATTTTTTTTTACTCGAGTATCAACTGGCACGGTGGAGAAGAGGAGGCAATAGACAGCGGCTCGGATTGAGGAATCGGAGAGCCGAGTTCGAATTCGAGTCGACTCCATCATATTCACTTACGTGGTAATACCCTTGGGAAAGGTATGAATCTCCCTGTTCTCCACCCAGCTATGGGTAAATAGCTGTGGAGAGAAGAGAACTGAAGAGAATAGGACAGACCGGGTTCTATAGCCTTGGGTGGCAACTGGTCTACAGCAGAAAGAAATGGCAACCTACTGCGGGGAATAATCTGCCTCGTCAGTCATGTATCGAAAGATACATGATCGCCTAAGCATGTATCACGCATGGCAGATAAGGTATGAGTAAATAGCAGGACAGACCGGGTTCTATAGTCTTGGATGGCAACTGGTCTACCGTAGAAAGAAATGGCAGCAACCTACTGCAGGAAAAATCTGCCTCGTCAGTCATGTATCGAAAGATACATGATAGCCAAAGCGTGGCACATCACTGATTGATAAACCGAGTCTATGTCTACATTTCTAACTAGTTAACCAGACATATACGTAACTTGTTAACAAGTGTAAACCGGGCCTATGTCTACCATTTTAACACAAGTGTAAAGTAGTCTATATCTACCCCTCTGACTTGAGTACCTTTCTGTCTTTAGTGTAAACGAGGCCTATGTCTACTCTGTTGACTTTAGTGTAACTTAGAGACAAATCAACCCATCACTGTAAGGGTTCCACGCCCGGATGTTCAAACTTCCTAATTCAATTCAGGTCGTCAGAATTCTGACCGTACTGGTCAGAATTCTGACGACCTGAATTGTAGAGTCTGCAATTGCAATTATCTACAGTTATCTTTTTTCATCATTTGTGCCTAGTCTAAACATTCTGTAATAGAAGTGGCTGTTCACGTAGGCCAAGTAAGATCAACTTTGATGAGTTACTAAGTTATTAATCGCAACCAGTCGAAATATATATATATATATATATATATATATATATATATATATATATATATATATATATATATATATATATATATATATATATATATATATATATATATATATATATATATATATATATATATATATATATATATATATATATATATATATATATATATATATATATATATATAACTGTCGGTCACTGTGTGTATTTCTAAAATTCACCTTGGCTCAGTGGTAGAATCTCCGACTGACACCAATTCAGTCGGGTTTCGATCCTAGCTAGAGGCAACCGGATGTCTATCCACACAGATGAGCTGCGAAACAGACAGTCTGTCTGTGGATGACGTTATATATATATATATATATATATACACACACACTAACTAGATAAATTGTATTACCCCTGGTGCGAGTGGTTTGCGTTAAGGACTGTCGCGTCTTTTTCCCTGTTGTAAATGAAATGAGCCGTTGTAAGCATCTATTGGCTGACAGACAGTTACAGATTAGATTGTCTGAGATTAGATTAGAGAAGATCAGTATCAGATCTTGTCAGATATCATTCTGGTATAATGGAATAAAATTATTACTTCTTCCGTTTCTGGTCTGTCTTAACCAAAACCAACCATTGAAACCAATGGCAACTTACAATATCAATTACCTAATTCAGAATGAGAGACAACCTGCGGCCCAATAGCGCAAGTGTTAATGTAGACAGTTTTAATGACCTGCAGAAACGCACAACACATTCCACGTTTATTTCTGGACAACTTTAAAGTAGAAGCCTATTCTGTAATTAAATAATTTAATTAAAACATACGTAATTAATTCATTTCGCTAGTCGGAATGTTTTCTGCGTTAGCGAGTTTTAGGATACAGCGGCAGAGGTCTGGTTTGGAGGAATAAATTGAAGAGATGTAAGAATTCTTCTGGAACGCATATCTTCGTGGTGGATACTTGCAGATTCGGATATAAAACGGATCCCCCATTTTGACTCAAGTGTAAACCGGACGTAACTTTCTGTCTCGAGGGTAAAGCAAACCTATATGTTTAACTTTTTGACTCAAGTTTAAACCGGGCATAACCGGGCACCTATATGTTTAACTTTTTGACTCAAGTTTAAGCCGGACATATGCCTAACTTTCGGACTCTAAAGCAGACCTATATGTTTAACTTTTTGATTCAAGTTTAAACCGGACATATGCCTAACTTTCTGACTCTAAAGCAGACCTATATGTTTAACTTTTGACTCAAGTTTAAACCGGACATATGCCTAACTTTCTGACTCTAAAGTAGACCTATATGTTTAACTTTTTGACTCAAGTGTAAGCCGGACATATGCCTAACTTTCTGACTCTAAACCGGACGTAACTTTCTGTCTCGAGGGTAAAGCAAACCTATATGTTTAACTTTTTGACTCAAGTTTAAACCGGGCATATGCCTAACTTTCTGACTCTAAAGCAGACCTATATGTTTAACTTTTTGACTCAAGTTTAAGCCGGACATATGCCTAACTTTCGGACTCTAAAGCAGACCTATATGTTTAACTTTTTGATTCAAGTTTAAACCGGACATATGCCTAACTTTCTGACTCTAAAGCAGACCTATATGTTTAACTTTTTGACTCAAGTTTAAACCGGACATATGCCTAACTTTCTGACTCTAAAGTAGACCTATATGTTTAACTTTTTGACTCAAGTGTAAGCCGGACATATGCCTAACTTTCTGACTCTAAAGCAGACCTGTATGTTTAACTTTTTGACTCAAGTTTAAAGCGGGCATATGCCTAACTTTCTGACTCTAAAGCAGACCTATATGTTTAACTTTTTGACTCAAGTTTAAACCGGACATATGCCTAACTTTCTGACTCTAAAGTAGACCTATATGTTTAACTTTTTGACTCAAGTGTAAGCCGGACATATGCCTAACTTTCTGACTCTAAAGCAGACCTATATGCCTAACTTTTTGACTTTTGTGTAAACTGGACCTGTCTCCCTCTCTGACTCTAAAGTAAACTGGACGCATGTCTACCTTTCTGACTTGTGTAAACCGGAAGTATATATACCTTGTTGACTCAAGTATAAATTGGGCCTATGTCTACTTTCTGACTCAAATGTAAACCGTACCTATGTCTACCATGTTGACTCATTTGTAAAACGGACCTATGCCCATCTTTCTGGCACAAAATTAAACCGGATTTATATCTATGTTTCTGAATTTCTGGTCATAAAACCTATTTTTACACTTTTTAGTGTTTTAGCTGGGACCCTAACAGGTGCTACTACTCCGAGTCAGGGGGTATCTGGGAACACCAGCAATTAAGAGGTGGTTCCACGTTCCTCAAAACCTCCTTATCAAAGGCCTTGTTGTTGGACGTAGTTTATCGTCTTACCTTGGACGGAAGAGAAAGAGAAATCTTCATTGAAATTTGGTTGTATGACGGACTAACAATCGCAACCCTTAAAAAGTCTACTCACTATTGAAAAGAGAGTTACAATACAAGTTCGGTGAAGATTTGGTCCTCATACCACATATCGACTCTCCATTAAAATCAGTACAATACCTGCGATATCAGAACAGATTAAAGAATTATTCTTATGGCTTATTCTCGAATACGTATATGACTTACCACGCTATTGATTCTATCTATCTATCTATCTATCTATCTATCTATCTATCTATCTATCTATCTATCTAATTATGTTCATTATCTATCTATCTATCTATCTATCTATCTATCTATCTATCTATCTATCTAATTCTGTTCATATCTATCTATCTATCTATCTATCTATCTATCTATCTATCTAATTCTGTTCATTATCTATCTATCTATCTATCTATCTATCTATCTATCTATCT